AAAATCTCTCACGTTTTCTTCTCCCTTGTTCTCAACGTAACAAAAGTCCTCAGGATTCATTTAATAATCCACCCCTGCACAAGCTCAATCCACAGAGTGGTGGACCTCTGGTTTGCCATATCTACATATAAAATCCAAATCCAAATCTTTAAAAATCTTATTGTTTTGAAAGTTTGCAGTGTAGTTTAGCCAAATAATGTTCCAAATTACATGGATAAGCCCCTCTAGCTCATTCAAAGAGTTGGCATAACCTGGCTGGAGATGCGTGTTCTCACGCTCGTAATGGTGCCTGGCACTAAGCGGCGCATCAGATGCCGACTGGAACAACTCCAAAAATAATCTGCAGGCTTACGAATTAAAGCCCTCTTCTTCACATGGTCAGATTCTCCTATCTAAATTGTAACTTCTGGGATCTACAGCTATTAACTAGTTTAGGACGATGCTGGGGATTTTGCAGATCAAAATCCCGACGAAAATGTCTCGGCCGTATTTCCAAAGGTCCCATCCAGAAGCTAACCACTTACAGCAACTATCTCTATCCTAGACACAAACATAGAAGCCTACTTCCGGTTAAGCAAAAAAGAAAATAACGAGAAAATAAACAACTAAAACAAAAGCGAAAAACAAATAATTACTCTTGAAAAATTACAAAATTAATTTAAGGAAATAAAAATTCTATACAAATTAACTATTTAAGATTTATAGGTTAAAATAAAACACAATACAGTCATATAACAAAATAAAACAAAATAAATATTTAGTGTCTTTAAAATTTACCTAAAATAAACTGTAAGCGCTAATTTTAATATTACTTTAGAATTTAAATAAAATAAAATAGTGTTCAAAACAAACGTTGCAGGTTAAATAGACATTTAAAAAAAATGTGTTGGCTATAGCGAACCCCTATAAAGAGCTTTAAAATTTAAAATGTGACAACTTTTCAAAGGATAATTATACACATCAATGTCAAATGCAGATATCCTCTTTAACATCAATAAAAAAACATTCGAGTATGTACTATATATAATATTGTTTCAATAACATGAAAATCACTAACGTGTGAAATCATTATGCAATCTGGTCTGAATCATCAGCATAAGCTGTTTTGTATCGAGTAGGGCCAGTTCATAAAAAAAACACATGGTACAGTACTTAAATGTAAGCGTCACAGTCAAAAACCCTACCCGGAGAAACAAAAAATATGTTCTGCAGTCTTCATGTGGCTTAGTGATATTTGCAGAATGGCATCACAGTTAAATCTCCCTATCCACTTATATCAGTAATTCCTTTGATGGGGGGGGGGGGGGGAATAAGGGGGGAATAATAATAATTGGCAGTAACTGTTTTGGGTACTAGTTTACACACAACCTCCTCCAGTCATTTTCCCGAAACTCTTAACCAACCTGAATTTGAAAATATACAGAATTAAGAACAAATAGCATGAAATAAACAGCAGAAAGAAGAAAATGCTAATAACTGGGGGGTGGGGGAAAGAAAGAAAACAAAGTCTAGAATGTGGGAAATGATAAACATTTCCAAAATAGAGAGGAATAGTGACCAGGTTCAACTCACCACACGCAGTGACTTCAGTAACAGATGTACATCCACCATGTCAGCTAGGATAAGGAGGCGAGTGACTGCAGACAGTAAGTTGCGAGCTGCTCGTACCATGTTACTCCTCTTCAGGGAAGAGCATGGGTCATCTGCAAATTCTCGTGCCGCTATGCTCATGGCTTCCCCTATTGAAACCAAAAGTTAGCAATATTGTATTACTCTCTTGAAGATTTTGTAGAACAAATATAAATAAAATAAATACTGTACAACCAATTTATCTATTTTACACTATAGTATAGTTTTAAATTAATTTTACCGAGAGTAAAACTGTTCAGTGTTAAACCATGTGATGCGGTGACTTGTACAGTTCTTGCACTAGCATGGTCAGTCGCAGCAAGATGGCCACAAAGACTGAGCTGTCTTTAGTGTCCACTCATGTGGAAATGAAATTAAGTAACTATGTGTAAACCAGCAACTTTACTCTCTGTAACCAAATGGAAATAAACTTTGTATGTGGGCAGGTTATCTAATCTATGGTAGGCCATGTTTATTATATACATAACATATACAATTAACATGAACGAGAAACTAATTTTCAACGTTGAGACCAAATAAATATTTTAAGGTTAGTCAAGTTATAGGAGATTCAGCTGTACAAGAATGCCTGCCAAACAGCCTAGAGCAGCAACAGACATGTGCTTATATGAAAATGTAGTGTTGCCAGCATTGTCAAGTGCGACACCATTGACTGCTACTGTGTCCCACCATCCTGTAAAGCATTGGGTAAAAGATATCCCTACATATTTTGGTAAAACTACAGAAAATCTGGCTAATTTTACCTGTCATTTCAAAGAATACGGTATGTGTTTTGAGCTGAACAAGCTGGACACAATCAGGTGCATCAATACCACAATTAAGAGTACGGCATACTACTGGTGGGATTTAAGACGTAAGAATCGTCAGTCATACAGGCAATTAAAAGATGAGTATCTTGCATATTTCTGGAGCACAAAAACTCAAATGAATTTACATAGCACATTACAGGCTGAGAAATTTAACTCCAAAAGTGAAAAGTCCCTTGAGGAACATTTTGGTAACATGTTTGACAGAACCCGTAATCTAACGCCAGCCGTGTCCGATAGTGAGTTCATAACCTTAATTTTATGCCAGCTGCCACTATGATATCAAAAGCATTGGTCTGCTAGCTCAGTCTCATCTATCAAAGAATTTTGTGATCAGTTACTGAATTTTGATCGATTGGAGAAATTGTCATGCAACTATCAGCAGCACGAAACCAATAAAACAATGACTCAAAAATCACCACCATTATATTGACAGTGGATTGCAATGGGAAGTGATCGAGATATGAAACTGCAAGAACCCTGGGAAGCTTGAGTTAACATGCTATTGGCAGATGTAAAAAACACATATTGTGGAGGAAGAGGCAGGCGTAACAGGCATAACAGACATTTCCATGCTGGCTAAGGCAAAAGGCATTCTAACGAGGAAGATCAATACTTCATGAAAAGGAGACCAGTAGGCAATGAGTTACCAGTTCTTATGGCACAACGCTCCGAGCCTAACCAAGCTAGACATGGAGATGAAAGGCAGGTAAATAGTGTAATACCAGCACAGGATCTGGCTCAAGAAAATCAGGAGCTTCCTTATAGGTAAGCTACCTAACAGGACCATACTAATGCTGTAACGTTGACAGTACCAGGGACAACGAACCAGCAATAGGGTACAGGGCTCACAAACCACGGATTGGAATTGGGGACTACAGAATCATGTCCATCCTAATGGAACAATGATAAATGAAACAAACACTAAGGCCAGTATCCCAGAACATTCAGTTTGGCATCACGTATGTGATACCATCTCGGGCAATGGATAATCCATGACTAATTGTTAACTCGCGGAACGTTTTTCTGAAGGTGTCTTATCTATGTCCTGAGATGGTAATGGATGTGCCACAGTTTATTATTCGCCGCCTCGTGCGAGACTACAAATAAATGAAAGCGACACAGAAGTGTACTGTTTATTTACAGTAGCTTTTGTGAAAATAAACACCTGCACAGTTAATTTATTATGTTATCTGCAGCGCTGGCAGTTATTGCAGACTTGAAATAACATTGCATAGAGTAATAAAAACTAATAATTATTAGTATTATTTGACATGATATATTTATTTTGTTCTTTATTGTGTGCAACTTACAGAACATATGGTAGGCAAGTGTTTTGTGTTTGCTATGGAAAAAATTATATACTTATATTTTAAATAGTGGACATGCATTATAACAGCAAAATTATAATTATAATTACCTGTTTATGCTAATAAATAAATCTACTATATTTTACGATCCTGCAATTCAGAGCTGTATTGTATTAATTTGTATTGGTGAAGCAGGAGTCAAGGGATAAAATAGCACGTAGATGAAGCCCATAACCCCAATGTGAAAATACTGAACAATAATGTCGTCTTTCATTTGTGCTGTATGTAGCATGGGAACTGAATATATAACCTCATTTTAGGTACTGGTAATAAAAATTTGCCACGAAAATGTATCTACTGATATATGTGCAGTATTAAATATCCCCAGAAATACACATTTCAAACACTTTGTACTATAGTGAAGTATTATTTCATGAGTTTTACTGGCTAGAATTCAGCATTTTTGTAAATTGTTGAGCCGTGGCAAATGTTCAAATCACAATAGGTAAGACAAGGCAAATTAATTTGTTGTTTTTCAAACCTGCACGGATATGTTACAAAGTTGTGATATACACATATATATGTGACCGTTAAAAAATTACTGCAGTCGAAACAGCTGTTCACGGATGTAAACGTTGTTACTGTAGTTTGCACTGGCATGTATGAAACCAAAGCCTATTACATGGGTTAACGCCATTTTGTATGCCCGCACATTTCTTTTGCAGTAGACATGACACACCCTGAACTAAGCCTTCACTGAAATGTTAGAAACACAACATCGTAATTCATGCAAATAGTTTAAAACCCAATATAAACTATATTTATAACATAATCTGAGTTTCGCACAGGGTAAAAGGTACTCCTAACAGCCAGCGTCAACCGTTAACATACGTCGTCAGTCATACCAACGTAACATCCTAATTCGTCCCGCCACTGACGCGTAGCTCACAAAAATTTTGCACACATATTATACAATTTTCTTTTGCCTTGTATTGGCTACAAATAAAATGACACACACGCAAAATGCCTTTTGAACGTGACTAGTGGAATAAGTTCTGAAAGATGTAATTATTATCACATCAATAAAAAAAGACGTATTGTCAAATAATCGCAATTACATTGTACTGTTAATAATCCATCATAAAGTACTGTAATACTTACTGCAGTTATTAAAATAAATAGACATTATTCTACATGTGAGATTTGTAGTTCATTTTAAAAACTTAAAAAAGTTTGCGCCGACCGAGATTCGAACATGGAATTTCCGCTTGGTAGACGGACATACTACCAATTGCGCTAACACGCCACACGATTAGTTGAACTCAATAAATTATACATGTATACTTTACACTGATTACGTGTTTTGCATTGTTTCTAATGGTGGAGGTTTTTAAAACATGTTGTACATATTACACAGTATTACCTTTTATTTGCAAACTTAAACGCGTAGGTTGCCTTATTTTTAGACAAACAATTATATCAAAGTGTATAACGGTCTGGACGCGTCATACCGTTTATGAACGTTCATCATGATACAGGCTCCGACAAAATGATATGCATTCTGCGAATGCATAGGTTTCGTTTGGGCAAAGGATAAATCAGCGATATCGTAGTCCTAGGATTAAGGCTTCGGCTGTGGCTTATCTAGGCCCTTAGCTGGCATTATAACGTTCTGGAATACCGGCCTAACACTTATGTTGGATATTTTGAACGAGTCTCCATTAAACCCTAATGCAAATAGTTTTCAACAAACACAACCATACCAGGCTTTGAGCGCACAGTACATGAAGTTCCCCAACATGGTGAACTAAGGCTACGGTAAAGTAGAACGGATCGGCATGGCAAGTCTCCGAGCATTGATCCCATTCCAACATCAAGAGGGTGAAGGGACTGTATAGTGAAATGTGTAGAGCGACATATGAAATTGCTACGAACCATACTGACAGTTCACTGTCATCATGCCAAACAAAATTGGCACAGTAGAATTCCATTAGTGGAGATGATAATGAATCACACCATACATGCAACAGGTTAAACACCCTATAAAGTTTTGACCCTCAGACGCTCTGAACCATTCGACACCTGACACCTACCCAAATGATCAAACATGATGGATGAGAACAGAGACTTAAGTCAACTGCAGCACGAAATAATAACATTAGTAAAAGTATGACTGCATTTTGCTGCAGAGAAGCATCAACGAGGACATAAATTGTCCATTGGAAATTTTGTTTTGGTGAAGGCCAATCCCGTTAGCCAATTGTGGGCTAACATGACCAAAACGCTGTTTCTCCTTTATCAGGACCCCCCCTTAATTGTGGAAAAATTCATTAAGGAGAACTGCTATGAGTTGAAAGATCCAGAAACGAACCAAATCGCAGTGTGCTATAATATAAGTTTGCTGAAGCCAATTCATCCACTTGTTTTTAAACTGTCAGGTAGTCGATAACACTATGTATCTACAATCTGCAAGAATGCATACACACCAAGAAGAACTAGCAGGAAGAAAGAGTTACATGAGGGAGTGTGCTGAATATTAGTCTTAAGAGAGAACACTACAGAGACTTTATTGTTATTATCGGATAATTGCAAGAAATTTTGTTTTTCGCTCCATGTAGTTACCTCGGAATAAATTGTGTTGCACCATATAGATTTTTTTTTGTTTATACTGAGCCAGACTTCAAGAAATGGAATTTGTTAAGTGTAGTCTCTGTAAACAACGAAGGAGTACCACTCGTCTAACCTGCTGAAGTCCCACTTGCCTTGTATAATGCAATACTGTTTGCGGAACAACAGTAGTCATCGGCTAGAAATAGGAGATGAAAAGGAATAAGTTGCCACTGGGTGTCATATAAAATGAGTCTAGTAAGATCACTTTTCCATGATTGATGTTTGTTCATATGAGTTGATATGTATGTGCTTAAATATTCTTGTGATACTCTCATGTGTGTGTAACTTCTACGTTTACAAAACAAATCTCACACATTTTTTTTATTTGTATAATATAAATTATATTCTCTAGTCACATTGGTTGTAGTTCTTCTGCAATACTCTATTTTAATGGATTAGCGCATTGGTTTTTTCTTCTATATTATCTCTATTATATGTTAACATCTTATCTTCTTTTGTTTGCATTATCATGAAGAACTCTATAGAGATGTCCCCATTAGTTGATAGCTGAAAAGAGCTAGAGTGAGAATGGAGAATGATGAATTGGACATTAATTAAAAGTAAAACACGATATTTTCTAATTAACTCCATATTATTACCATGGAGTGATGAGGTAAGGCATTAATAATACTCATCAGTGATAACCTTCACATCATTGGCTGAGCTAAGAGGATCCTAAAGAAGATGGACAAGATTTGGAAACAGAATTGTCCACCCTCAAACTGCCTGCTTGCAGGAGACTGTGATCATGACCGAACTCCCGAGGCCATTGAAAGCAACTACAACTGCAACAGAGAGAATTCCAGTTCTCCTGTTTTTCTACTACTGATGTACGGAGGTGATGGAAGAACACATCTGTTTTTCTCTCTCTCTCTTTTGTGTGCTATACAAATATATGTATACACTAATTTCAACTAACTGTACCTGAATTTCTACCTAGTACCAGGGTGCAAGTATTTTTATACACCAAGACCTACCCCCTACACCCTAAGAATCCTGTAACTTCCAATACGTGTGTGTGTGTGAATGGGTGCGTGTGTGTGTGCGTGCGTGTGAGAGAGAGAGAGAGTAAACTGGTGGTGAATAAATCTAACCAAGGAGGAAAGACTTTGGATGCTATGCAAAGAGATCTAGTGTTGTGGTTTTATTTCATAATGTCATAAAACTTGTGTAAGAGTTTTAAACAAGTTTGCGTATGAACCTCGGTTATAACTGGCCGAGATGGAGTCAACCCTCTAAAACATTTAAGATTCATATGGAAAAGGGATATCTGCAACATGTGGTTACAGTGGTTAAGGAGATATACATATATATGCACTTTTGTTTTTAGAGGTTGTTGATAAAAAAAATTTTGAAATAAAATGTATACCAGAAAATACTGAATTTTATAAGAAAGTATAATTTCCAAGTTTGGATTATATTTAAGCTGCTACAGGGTCTATCGTATTATTAATGAAGAGACGGATGACCTTACTACAGTTTGTTTTCCAACACCTTCCAGCAGAAGGTTAGTAAGTTAATGCCTGTCCTAATACAAATGTCCACTGGCTAATAATTGGAGTTCTGCTTGTGTTAATGCATCAGCACACAATTCATACTAATATTTTCCATTGGCTTAGTTTTTTCTTTTCTCTCTTCTTAAAAAGTATAATTATAATTATATTTTGCATGTTTTTTCTGGTGAAATAGCACACGCCTATTGTAAAAATCTCATGCTTGCAGCTGACATAGTTCCGGCACTTATCCATCTATCTATCCCTGAGAAATTTATAATATAGTAATTGTCATTGGTTGACTGTTTGTCTAACTTTAAATGAAATTTAAAAAACTGCAGCCTTGTAGCCAGCACACATGACTACACATATGTTCCTTTTATCTCGAGTAACACTCTCGCACGCACGCCCACACATACACACAAAATGTGTGCAGGAAAGCAGGCTAATTAGTTATATTGGTGACTTGTTGATATCCTAACAGTTCATGCTGTACAAAGCTACCCCCCCTTTTTTTTTCGTACTAGAAATACTGAACTGTCTGGTAAATTCTAGTGGATGGCATTTGCCTTCATACATGCCTTTACAGTGTTGGTCTTTACCCTTCACCCAACTTTATACCTTATTATTGGAGACTGGTCATTAATACAAAATTTTTCAAACCAGTGACATAGTTTGCTCCAAAATTGCACCTATGCCCATCATGCTCTCACTCATGACATGTTTTTGCCATTTTATATCTTAGCTTAAACTCACACAACAAAATGACCTGTCAATTATGCTGTTTCAATGTAGTAATATACAGAGCAAAGTAACATGTCCTACACGCAAAGTACTCTTCTTAAAGGCCATGTAAAAATTGACTTATTTTCTCCACAAGAAAAATATACATAAATATGGTAGGTATTAAAACTAAAAATATTAAGTATGTAATCAATAAAGTATTAGAAAGCAATGAATTTGTTTCAATAATTGCAAACTTCCAAATTAATTAGTCACTAATCTATTGCTTGGCTTTTGATGCCCATTCCTAGTGTACATTCTGAGGTTCCAGAAGCACACGTCATTCAACTGTGTTTGTCTGCTGTACAGTAATGTAGCTGGTAGTGAGTTATCCTAGACAGATCTAGAATACAACTAGCTGACTGACTCGCCGGGGGCTGCCAGAGTAGTCGTAACTGTTTCTTTCTTATTAAAATCATTCAGAATGTCAAAGGTGACTACAATAACCTTTACTTGCTGCTAGGGTGGCCATGTCCAGTCATTAATAATGAAGAAAACTGCTTACCTTTGCTAAAACAACTACCATGCACTCCATTAACAACTCAAAACTCAAACATACAGGCATGTGTGCATACACACATGTTCTTACACATGCACATTTATAAAGGTGATGGTATCAAAAAGTTTAGAGACTAATTCTGTTTAAAAGAAAGTACTTTATTATCTATGTTTACAGACTATCACCTTCAAATTAGTGACCTTGCACAGCTATACAGTGCCTGCTACTTCTGAAATGTGTCCTGGAAGTCTACATATTGAAGCATGTCAATCAACTGCAGCGGTTCAGGTTGGATCTATGCAATGGTGTTAAAAAAAATAAAATAAAAAAGGCACATTTTGAGCTCACTCTTCATCATTGGGCAGAGTCTGCAGGAGCCAATAGGTCTGAAAGCACAACTTTTGACAAGCTCTACCACCAAAATTATTGAAACCACCTGAAAACTTTTGCATGAAGGCCACCAGATGTTGATGTGTCGTACGAACATTCCAAGAAATCCTCATGTGTGATTTCAATGTGCACCATGTTGCTGTCAAGTTCATCCCCAGGCTGCTGACACAACAGCAGGAGGAACACCGTCATGGATAACCCACCCTCCATGTCAATGTTTTAAGGCACCTCAGGACGTACATTCAAGGAAAGCATCAGGATATGAGGTGCATAAGAAAACAGATGCTCCACTGCGACAATGCACTGTTACCAAGCTTTCTTCACGTATGAGTTTCTTCCATTCAAGAAGATCGTACTTCCACATCCCTCTTGCTTACCAGATTTCGCTCCTGCAACTTCACCCTCTTCCTGAAGAAGAAACCTGCTCAAAGGTCACAGTTCGGATACTACTGCGGGAACTCAGCATGAAT